AGATTCAATTACTTGTGAATTATCGGGTACGTTTAGCTCCAGGCTAATGGGATTACCTTCCAAGTAAGCTGGTTTCAGACGGTCGATACTGACGGTGTCTTCGCGGCCTTTTTTGTCTAAAACGAAGAATTTATCAGTACGTTTAATCACTTTATATGGTCCGTCATATGGGGGTTCTAGAGGACGACGTACCGAGTCGCGACGAACAAATACATGTGAGGAAGTTTTTAAACAAGGGTGAACGAAAACATCAATGGACTGTGGTCGGAGGGGAGCAGGTTTAACTGAACGCATAGCGTTTGTAAGCCTGCTGACGTATGAGGAGTGATCTACCACTGGTGGGAAGCAGGAGGGAGAAACAAACTCACCTGGCAGTCGTAGTGTTGTGCCATATACTAGCTCAGAGGTAGTACAACCAGCATCGGTTTTTAAGGCGTTTCGTATCCCTAGGAGAACTAACGGAAGGGATTCAGTCCAATGGGTGCTATTTGCAGCTGATAAGCCAGCTTTCAACTGTCTGTGTAGACGTTCTACCATACCATTCGCTTGAGGATGGTAGGCTGTTGTTCGAAAACGCATACAACCAAGGATTTTAGTCAAAGCGAAGAATAAACCGCTTTCGAATTGCCGCCCACGATCAGTTGTTATGGAAGATGGGCATCCAAAGTTTGCGATCCATCTCTCTACAAAGACGCGTGCGACAGTTTCAGCAGATATATCCTTGATGGGTACTGCTTCAGGCCATCGTGTGAAGCGATCGATGCAGGTTAACATATAAGTATATCCATGAGATTCTGGGAGGGGGCCAACTAAATCTATATGGACGTGTTCGAAACGGGCATCGGGGATAAGAAAAGTGCCAAGGGGGCTTTTAGTGTGTCTTATTACCTTGCACTTTTGGCAAGCTAAGCACGTCTGCGCCCATTCCCTTACTTCTTTGTTAATACCAGGCCAACAAAACCGGCTAGTTACGAGCTTGACAGTAGTTCGAATACCTGGATGGGATAAGCCATGCAACGTATTGAAGACGTTACGTCGATAACTTTTAGGCACGATGGGGCGAGGAGTACTAGTGGAAATGTCACACAGAATAGTATCCTTTCCTATACCTAAGGGTTTCTTGGCTAGTTGTAGAGTTGTTTTCGACAACTCACGCTGAAGTTCAATATCTTCTTTTTGAAGACGAGCCAGTTTTACAAGGTCTATGCCATCGATTTGGGTGAAAGAACAAATACGTGACAAGGCATGTGCCACAGTGTTGTTCACTCCGGAAACATGGCGAATATCTGATGAAAACTGTGAAACGTAATCTAGTTGTCGCGATTCCCTGGGTGAATACTTATCTGAAGTTGAGTTCAGAGAGTACGTCAGAGGTTTGTGGTCAGTGAATATTATGAATTCGCGACCCTCAACTGAATGTCGAAAATGACGTATAGCACAGTACATAGCTAGAAGTTCCCTTCCGAATGTGCTGTACTTCGTTTCAGCTACTTGAAGGCGCCTCGAGAAAAAGGCGAGTGGTTGCCACTCGTTGTTAACTAGTTGTTGCAGAACTGCGCCGATTGCAGTGTCTGATGCATCAACCGAGATACTCAACGGTGCCGTTGGATCCTGATACATAAGAAGGGTGGCATCCGCAATAGCTTTCTTTACCTGAGTAAAAGCATGTCGAGCAGACGTGTCGAGTTCGATAGTCTTGTTGTTCCCTCGAAGGAGATCGGTTAATGGCTGAATTAGAGAAGCACAATTAGGAATAAAACGTCGGTAATAACTTACCAAGCCGTTAAAAGTGCGAAGGCATTTTACTGTCTTTGGCTCCGGAAAGTTCAGTATTGCTTCGACTTTAGTAGCCAGTGGGCGTATGCCCTGACAGTCAATAGTGTGACCCAGAAAATCGAGTGAGTCAACGCCTATCTGACACTTCTGTATATTGATGGTAACACCATGTTGGCGTAACCTTTCAAATGCCAAGTCCAAGTGTCTAAGGTGAGTTTCCTTATCTGGACTGGCAATGAGACAGTCGTCTAAGTATGCGTATACAAAGTCGAGACCGCGAAATACTTCGTTAATGAAGCGTTGGAATGTTTGTGCCGCATTCCGGAGGCCGAATGGCATACGTAGGAATTCAAAAAGTCCGAAAGGCGTGATGATAGCCGTTTTCGGGATATCTTCCGTTGCCATCGGGATTTGGTTATATGCTTTAACCAAGTCGATTTTGGAGAATATAGATGCTCCAGATAACGTTGCCGTCAAGTCGTGTATGTGAGGCAAAGGGTAGCAATCAGGAGTTGTTTTGGCGTTCATTCGCCGGTAATCACCAGTGGGTCGCCAATCGTTGCTATCCTTTTTCGGTACCATATGCAGTGGGGATGCCCATGGACTATTCGATGGTCGAATGATGCCAAGGGTGAGCATATGATCGAATTTGTTTCTGGCAATTCTCAGTTTATCAGGTGCCAGTCGTCGTGCTTTAGATGTCACGGGCTGTCCTGAGGTTATGATGTGGTGCATAACATTGCTGGTTATGCACGGGAGATCGTTAGATGGGCAATTCAGTTCCGGATATTTGTGAACAATCGGTTGAAAAGTTGGATCGAGGATTGCTTTCATTTTAACGATTGACAAGCTGGGGCCACTGTAAGTTATGCCTTTGATAGACAAACTAGTAGTGTTGTCAATTAGTCGCTTACGGCGGACGTCTACGAGTAAATCATGATGATTAAGTAGGTCCGTGCCAATGATGGGCATTGTGACGTCAGCGATCAGAAAAATCCACCGAATAGGTTTGCGTAAACCTACGTTCAGATAGACGTATTTCCGACCATAGGTTGCAATTGGTTTTCCATTTGCAGCCTGTAGGTTGAAGTTAGGATCCTTCTGTCGATCTGCTGCTGTAGCAGGAAGGACGCTGACTTCGGCGCCTGTGTCGACTAGATATCTAGTCTGGCTAATTACATCATGGATGTAAAGTAAGCGGCTAGTGCCACCGGCGACGGTTGCCGCTAACGCGTGCCGGCGGGATAGTTTCCCACAGACTTGGAGGCTTTGTCGAAATCACAAGGTTTTCGACAACATTTTGCTTCCTTGCCATAGGTGTTGTGATACCAACACCAGTCAGGATTTTTGAGAGAACGTGTGTTGGACTTAGATCGTCCACGTACGTTTAGCCGTTGAGGGGATTTGGAACGACGGTAGGAGGAATTGCTAGGCTTGTTTGACCTAAGCATCTGCTGGACGGAGTTGCATAACTCTATCATTGCAGAATCCTTCTTCGAAGCCTGTTCGGTAACTGAGTATACTTCGGTAACTGGCCGTTTCGTTATCTCTAGAATTCTATCTGCAGAGACAGCTAAATCATCTATGAGAACACCCTGAAGTGTCACAAGTACAGTCTGAACTGACTGTGGCAGTTTGGATAGAAATAGTTCTCTAAACAGTCCTTCATCGAACTGACTTTGGCCAATGATCTCTTTCATTCTTGCCAGCATGCTCACGGCTGACTGATCTCCTAACTCGATGTTACGAAATAACTCATCCAGACGTTGTCGATCTGTGAGAACGTTTCTCTTGAGGATGGATGCTTTTAGCAACTCGTACGAGTTACTTACCGACATCTGCAGAGTTACGCACTTGCTGAATTCCCGCGGTAGGGCGTGAATAACTGCAAGGAACTGTGAACGTTGATCAGTTATGCCATGTTCACAAAAATCAGACTCAGCAATCTGAAACCACGTTTCAGCATTATCGGGCCAATATGGTACTAGCTGGATTGTTTTGGCGGTTGAGCGAATCTGAATAACCTTGGGGCTAGGATCACTCATGACGAAAAGTATGCCGATAACAATATAGTACAAGAATAAACACAAAAAGGAACGAACTCACCGGGATTATCTGCGTGTGAATTGAAGATGTAGTTCGTGGTTGGGCTCACCAGTTTACGGGAGCTGTAGGTATCGAACGTTCGCGAGTTGTACGGATTATACTAACGCAAGATCTTATACCAACAACCACTATAGTGTTCGTTCTTCGAGTACCAAATGGTAAAGCAAAAGACCAGATTTCGTCGTCCAAATACGATATATATTTTGGGACCAAATCGCGGGTAGGAATGAATGCTTAGCTAGCTAGTAATCGTGCACGCACGTGACACGACGAAGAGCACCAAATGGCGGGGATGCTTGACCGTAAGCCTTCAGCTAAACAAGTCGACTTAAACAGTGATGGTCAGCATCCAATGTTGAGTGATGATTGCTGTGGTTAATAATTTTGGGGAATTATTTACCGCTACACTGGTATTTTAGACAATGCAAAGGAGGGCAATTAAGACTGTTTTGGGCTAAAATATAGGGTGACTTAGTCTGACAGGTGCTTCTTCATAGTTTCAGCCGCCAAAGTACTAGGGGAGAACTGATTATTGATATAAGTATGAAACTTGGGCACTGTGGTAGAGAATAACTCCATAATGGAGAACTGATTATGACACAGTCGTACATCAGAGGTATATTACCCGAAAGACACTACTATAAACCTCAGCGTGATTTCAGCAGAAGTGCCCATCACAGGGCTGCTATAAAGGTGCTGCTCAATATCTTTCTCCTTGGGGTTTTTCACCAGTGGGAGTCACCGACTACTGCTGCATCATTTGGCAAATTCTGTTTGCTCGCATCCATGGAGGAACGATCCTTGTTTCTTGAGGGCTTTCTTGTTATTACGCGTATCTCGCTCACCTGACATACTTCACAATTCTGTTCCAACTTTATTGTGTATCTGTATCTATTACTGTCAGTTTCGCCCATTTAACTTTCCGCTTCTCCTATTTTTGCTCTATGTTCCCACTGTTTTGCCTGTCTTACACTCAGTCCTCTTGTCTTACCTTCCGTTTGTTATGTCTACCCATTTTGCTGAATCGCTTCGTACCAATTTCACTAAAGTGTTTGTCTAACTAAATGGAACGAAATCTATAAGTTTCAGCAGCCCCGCTGCCATGTTACAAATCAAACCGATGTGCTGCCTGTTCCTGCTTCCAGGAGAGATGCATCCGTGCAATAACAGAATTTGTGGAAGATCTAGAACAGAATGGTTTTAAATAAGAAGATGCAAGCGCCACTGAAACACACTGTTTGAATGAGCTAATCAAAGACTATTGGATTTGAAGCCAATTTACTGAGAGCTGACCAATCAAAACCACGTAAAAGCCAGTGACCTTGTTGTCTGGGAAAACTTAAATTTCCCATTTATCGATCGGGAATTTGGGTCATCGTAGAGTGAGATAACGGGAAATGGGAGACGGAAGCAGAAAGGCTGTTGTTAAAAATGCGGATATGTCTGAAGAAATGCAGCAAGATGCAATAGAAACAGCAACACATGCTTTCGAGAAATATAACATTGAGAAAGATGTAGCCGCTTACATTAAAAAGGAGGTGAGTATTGTATCCTGATAATTCATTTCCGCAGTTTGATAAAAAGTACAGTCCAACATGGCACTGCGTTGTTGGAAGGAATTATGGAAGTTATGTGACACATGAAACCAAGCATTTCATTTACTTTTATGCTGGACAAGTTGCCATTCTTTTGTTCAAATCCGGTTAATGCATATTTCCATAAATGTATTTGAATGATTTTAAAAATATAGAGTATATATAATCTCATGCAAATTTAATTAATTAATTTTTTCTAATATCTGTAAAGAAGCTATTGCAGTTTTAGTATCTTCCTGTGTACGTCGAGTTCAGACTTGATTTTTTATATCAGGCTCGAGTCCATGTTTATCCATTTCTGTTAATTACTTGTGCTTGTCTGTCCCCTTCACGAGTGACTCATTTGGAGGTACAGACACTGCTTCTTGCTAGGAGTTAATGTTTCTCTGGAAATATCAGTAGTTTACAACGAAGTAGTGTGTTCTTGGATTTTGAACTCCTGTTATATTCTTAGATTTATCCAAGCCTGGTTGTAAGAAGAAGAAAAGATAGATCAGGTTCATAGTCGTTCCGTAAAATTCAGAAGTTTGTTATTAGATTTACTCTCTTCCTAAGGTAAAATGAACAGGGAAGATTCAGTCTTGTGACAAATCAGTGATACCAAGAATCATACGTGTAGCCATCGTTTGAACTCTTCCCAATATGCATAAATCCCGTTTTTCAACAAGAGCTGGCTGCTTGAATACAGTCTCCTAGTTTGGACCAAAGAGATACATAAAGTCGACGTGTTATTCCAGCAAAAGTCCTAAGCGATACCTAGACTGGTCCAAATCCAGAAACTACAACTAATTGAAGGTGTGCCGTAATTTCTGAGCTGTCGAACCTCGGGAAGTCGTATGCAATGGCACTTGTACATCCAATGTACGTGGTTGTGTACTTGTTACTTCAGAGGGAAGCATCCATTCTTCAGACCAACTTAGTAGGTTTCTTGAAGCTTCTTTGTAGTCTCTAATCTGACCCTCTAAAATCTCTGGTCGTCTCCGTAAAGAATCATAAGAGATTCGGAAAGCAAATATAATTTGTTGGCTTACAAGATAATTAGGAGTGTGCCAAGTATGTTGTTATCTGGTGCATCGTTTCGTACTGTTTTCCAGGAAGAGCATTTCGAGCCATTCTTTACCCCATGCCTTCTGTCTACAAGAGTTTCTTTAGTCCAGGCGATTAGGTTATCCGTGATTCCAAAGGTCTGCAGTTTTGTGACGGACAGTCTATTGTTGAAATCTATAGAGATGACGACTACGGATTTTTTATGATCCATGTGTTTGACACATCTCTGTTACCGTGAGATACGCTGTGCACTAGAAGTTCCCCTAAAAGGCGCGCTTCGTGTTACGTAAGTAGTCCTTTATTTCCCCGTTAAGTCATGAAAGTTTTCTTGGTCATTCTTTCCATTATCTTAAGTAAGTTGCCGCTAAGACTAGGATGCTTGTAATTTGAAGGCTAGTAACTAGGTTCTGCATTATGGGTGATAGGAGTTACTATTACATCCTCCCAGGAGAGTGGTGACATTGGTTGTATGAGAGATGAACTGAAGACAGTCGTCAGTGGACACGCTATGTATGCTACCAGCTCCTTGAGAAGCCTTGTTTGAAATCCGTCGGGTCTGACTGGTTTCAAGACAGAAGAACAACAGGCTCAGCAAACAGATTTAGCTTTTCAGTGATTTCATCCTCAAAAGATACACAACTGCATTTCTCTCCATAGGTCTACATTAACTACAATTACTCTCTAATTCAACATAGCAACGATGGGAGATTAAAGATGGTCATAATCCTCAACTTGATTTGAAAGTGTGCATGCAGATCGGGAGGCGTATGGTAATAGTATTACATAGGACTAGAAAGTAGTTGCGCAATATACAGATAGGTTTAAACGGGATGTGCTCAGCAACAAACTGAAGTATTAATTTTATAAATGAAGATGAGAAAATGAAGGGAGTGGAAAAAACAACAAATAAACGAAAATCAAGGAGTCAAACAGAACTAGATGCGTGTTAAATGTAGAGTTCGGGCCATCTCCCGTTGAACACAGCTGCGGCTTCTCAATGCATATGGCAAGGACGTAGTGGATAACACGCTGTCTTAAATAAGTATTTTTTCACTTTGTAAATGACTCTAAATGATGAGTCAGTTGAAGTGCTGACGAGGTATTAAATTATAACGCTGCTGATTTCCCTGCATGCAGCTTGCTTTAATGTTTGGAATGTGACGTTCTGGTGGATATCAATGGAAAATGTGCTGTTTTCTGGTGGCTTGACTGGGGCGGATGCCGCGTGTCTGGCTGATTCTTGTATTGAGACCCTGGTGAAGTGACTTTCAACTGTCCTAGGTCTGTCCCCCTCAATTGTATCTGTGGCAGTGATCAGGTTGGGGACTGCATAATGCGTACTGTTCCAGAGGTTCGTATACAAAAATAATTTCTTTGTGTCTTTTAATGCCTTTGGAGCTAGGTTTATTTCGGATTTCATCCGTAATTGACAGATTTCTATTAGAGACTTATTTCCAGCTTCTTGACCTTAAAAGTTTAAAGGGTGATACACACATCCAGGGAATTGTGCAGATCATGGATCCCCAGTTTATCCGTGCCAGACAGTGTTTCCGTCTCATAGGGACAACCTAGGGATTGCAGTATTTGGGTTTAGGGCGTGTATTTGCTTGAATGGCTGGAAATGGTTGAAGTGACCCTATGTAACCTCACCTCAGCATGTTTCTCCGGATTTATGACTGAGTCATTTGATGATGCTGTAGAGGAAATGTACATGTTGGGTTTCAATACGTCTGATGATTTGACCTGAGACACTGCACAAAAGAGAACTTAGGAGTGAGCATGGAGTAATTACTTTCTCCTTTGCATGCAGTTCACGTCCTCACCATATGTGGACTTCTGGAAATACTACCGTGTGATTCCCCTAAGATACTGAACTAGGACTATTGATACTGAAGACTCTACCAACTTGTTGCCGAAAGTATTCTGTGGCGATTTTGTCAGCCAACCATTAGACGCATTTTACCATGTACATGCTTCATTCCTTTATCAGGAAGTCGATTGAAATATATGATTAGGACGCATTCCAGCCTGTAATGTAGAAGTCCGCATGGTCCACTGTTATGTCTGATTGTTGCTGTGCTCTGGGCAGTTAGGTTCTCCACCATCTCTGCAAGTTAATCTGTCAGCCTTATGCACAGCGAATTTTTTGTGGGTAAACTTCACTATCAATGATCTCAGATACTAACCAAGATTTTCCAGTTGCGATGATATCCAGACTACCTGCTTCCATCTATTTGTCCAATAAACTTTGGGGATGTATGTATTTCAGTCTGGTTGTCCACACTCAGCAAGTCTAGGGATTTTGAGGCTTCGGACTTTCATCACCCATAAACCATTAATTATAAGGTTCTTGTCGTCATTCGCTTAATTCGGGTTCTACAGACTTCCTTCTGATACCGTCTGCCAAGCTTAGGTATGTGGTCTTTAGAATATTAGCATTTCTAAGGATCGCATCCCCCTTGGTCTTAGAGTTTATTGTGACATTGTGAAGATGTTCTGTACAGACTGTGAATGGTTACGCCTGCTAGTGTCATGAAGAGTAGCTCACCTATTATCGGATTGACAAGACTGAGTTTGACCTCTAAGTCTGTTTCACTGGCTTCTTCCACTTTATGGGAGATAATCGACTTGTTGAAGAGATGAAGTTTGCTGCGTCTGGCATTCTTGGTTTCCGGGTCTGATTTTTAGTCCTCTTCTGAGAATGAGACATTTTATGTGTGACTGGCCTATTTTACCTTCTGCGAGAAATGACATCTCACCATCTGCTCTCCTCTTCTCCGCGTGATTCTAGAGGGGGACTGCTCATCATCCTTCTTAGTCTTGCGTATGATCACGTCTCCTCTGGTGGGGAGTTGTTCAAAGACTTCTGTAGTACATCAGTGACCCTTTGTGATTCTATTCCTCCATGAGGGATTGAATGTGATATATTTATTATTATTATTATTATTATTGTTCCCTTGGGTTCCTAGTGGAACATAGGGCTTCAACTGCACGCCTCCACTTGCTTCTATCTTCTGCTGTATTTTTCACTTGCATCCATGTTAATCCATGCTGTTTCAACTCCTCTTCACACGATCTCCTCCATGTCACTCTTGGACGTCCCACTCGCCGCTTCCCTTTCGGGTTCCACTCGAGCACTGGCCTGACGCTCGATGTCACCCAACGGCCTCCTCAGCCAGCGAGTGTCCAATCCATCTCCACTTTCTCCTGCATATTTGTTGGGCGATTGGTTCTTGTTTTGTTTGTTCCCATAATTTCTTGTTGGTGATTCTTTCCGGCCACCTGATCTTCAGTATAGAGCGAAGACAGTTGTTGATAAAGGTCTGCAACAGGCTGTTGGAAATATTCTTTGTGACCCGCCGCCAAGTTTCTGATCCGTATAGAAGAACTGACTGACTTGACGTTTGTATTGAAAATTCGAATTTTGTTGTTGATACTGAGTTGAGTGACGAAGATTTCCAGATTGGTTTCAGGTTGGTGAATGTGTTTCTCGACTTCCCGATTCTCGATTTGACATCTTCGTCCGTTCCTCCTGTAGTTGAGACAATGCTCCCTAGATAAGTGAATGAGGTAACCTCTTTCAAATCCCTTCCGTTGATGGTGATTGGCGTTGGATGTTGTTGTTGTTGGTGGTGGTGGTGGTGGTTGTTTATTTTCATAACCTGCGTCTTGTCTATGTTCACCTGGAGTCCTGTCTTTGCTGCTTCTTCGACCAGGTTGTCGGTTTTCGCTTGTAAGTCTTCGAATTTGTGTGACATCAAACATAAATCATCCACGCGCGAAATCCAGGTCTTCTAGGTTCTTCACGTCGGTTCAGTATATCTCTGTCTTCCCCATTTCCCACTGTCTGACGCATAATCCAGTCCACCACAATTAGGAATATCATTGGTGATAATAAGCACCCTTGTCTGACTCCTGTGTTTACTCCGAATGCCTCGCTGAGTTTTCCGTTGTGAATGTGATATAACTGGGCTTTTATAGTAAGGTCTGATTGAGACTTTCATTTGACTTCACCGTTGGCCTAACGTAACAACGTTATCAGCTTTTGAACTGGGGTCATTTTCTCCTGAGAGGTAAGACTTTTATTCTTCATTGTGATTCACTAGATTTATTTTCAAGAGTTGGTTTGTAATGATTAGATTTGTTTTTACGAGTTTGACCACGGATTGATATCATTTAGAGAACCATTGAAAACTACTACTGGAGTACTGGACAGCTGTTTCATCCTAGTTTGGGGGTCGAACCCAGGACCTTCCGGTTACAAGGCAAGCTAGCTCGTCTACCATTCAGCTATTGGGATCCGATTCAATGGCCAGCCAGTCCATGAATTCTAACTTCTACCAATTCGTGATGCACTTAGCGCGACCACCAACCAATGTCATCAGTGGGACATCCATCCTCACTCCCGACTGGATGGACCTCACTAGTCACGACTTCTCACTAGAATTCACTCCAGGAAACTCTATCCTGTATCAAGTCACTCACTAGCGAGCATCAGATTAATTTTCCATAGTTGGTTTGTAAGGATTAGATTTGTTTTCTACGAGTTTGACCACGAGTTTATGAATAATCATGTGTCTTGTGTGACCACATACATTCAGTCTGCTTTTTAATTGCTTGGTGTGTTGGCAAAATTATGCATGTTAAGCAGACGTGGATTAGTCTAAAATTATTTATGTATAACTCAAGATTCTAATGTATATAAGTCGGTTATAGCTCCTAAAGTTTTTCTGAGTACTTCTCGACATATCACAGTGCATTACGACAACTATGTAGATGACACCTCAGTTGCTTATATAACAAGATGTAGTACTATTAACCACCGCCTTCCTCAACCAGCAATGTTATAGCTGACATAGGATCAGATTGGGAAGGTGTTAGGGCAGTTTGTTTGGGCCACATAGGCAGGTGTAAACTTCCTAGCTGAGATCCTCAGGATGCTAACAATCAATGGCTGGAGACTATTGGTGGTGATATGACTCAAAATTGTTCACAATAGAGCAGATGCATTCTCCCTTTACGACCTTTCATGCTTCTTCATGTTACTATTCTTTCTCTCTCACTATTCTTCTCTTTCTTCTCTACCTTTGTGTAATTCCATATTAGTTTGTTTATTAGATGTGTCACACAGTGAAACAGTATTATTTACTGGATGACAATGTTTCGAACAAAATTTATTGTTCATAATCATATCGTCAATTATAATCACACGACTTCGAAACTTGAGTTTTATAGTTTTCTTTGTCTTCTCCTATTTGTCATCGTTGGGGTAGTAGAATTTTCCAGATATCTGGCTGGACAGGTGATGAATCATTCCTATTACATGTATTTGCAGTTGATTCGATAAACAAAGCTTCTGTTATCAATCTCTCCCTCCACCCTGTGACATTAGATTTTAAAACTGTCATCGTATCCCATCCTATTGTGTGGTTGTGTGTAACTGCATGCAGTGCTATAACTGAACTATTCTCTAGATTTCTTATCTTATTCGGGTCAACTAATCTACATTTTGCTGCTAGGTTTTTATGCTCGGCTAGTCTGACTGCCCCTGTTCTACTAGTTTGACCTATGTATTTGACCTGACAATCATTCCAGTAGGGTATTAGATAAACTAAATTGTTTTGCTTTAAAGGCTCCACAGAGATCCTTTAACCGACAAAGCTTGTTTCTAATTGAGTTTGTGGATGGTTTGAATGCCAGCCACTTTTATTCCTGCCTTGTTAAGAATTCTGTGTAAGGTTTCCGAGGTTCCTTCCTTGTATGGAATTACTACTGATGATTTAGATTCCTTATTGTTGGTGTTGTCTTACGCATGTTTGACATCCATGTCGTCATTATTATTACTATCACTATCACTGCTATCATTATTTATTTTATTTTTACATTTCCTTACATACTTCCTGATTAATTGATCAGGGTAATTATTAAGTTTCAAAGCTTCTCCTTTTATATGCCTCACTTCATGTCGTAGATTTTCCTTGGTACTGCTTAGTTTCTGTGCTCTGTCACTCAAACATTTCACTGATCCTATTTTTTCCTGATATAGGGTGGGATGATCGGAAGTTCAAATATCTGTTTGAGTGTGTGGGTTTCCTGTAAACACTAGTGTTTAACTTCCCATCTTCTTTCGTTTTTACGCTGCAATCTAACATTGGAAGTTCCCCTTCCTGACTTTCCAATTCATAAGTGAATTGATGAATTGCCTCCACCTTTGAGTTAATGTGTTCGAAAAATCTATCTATATCCTGTGTTCTAAGTACAGTGAATGTGTCATCTACACATACCTCCACCATACCTTTTTGGTGGGGGTGAATTACTTACTACCACAGTGCCCAAGTTCTACCTTTGTGTGTTATCTAGGATGATGAAGGCTATGTGGATAGCGTCCCTTTTTGTAAGAAGCTTTCAGACATAGCCACAGCTTCTTGAAATTTCATAATTACAACACTCGTACAACTGAATTCATCATGACGTATTTCCTTATCGACCATTGTAACTAGAAAATTTTGCTTAATGTTTCGTCACAGAAGTAAAGTGAGGTTAAAGTGTTGATGATATGCATGCGTCCTTATTGTTATTATTATTCCCTTTGGTTCCGAATGGAACATAGTTCTTCAAGAGAATATCTCCATTTCCTCATGTTCTCTTCAGCTGTCTTTAGTTGTCTCCACGATTGCCACTAGGGATACAGAAGGCTCGTTTCGCATATGCAAGTTTATGCCATCTCTGGCTTAGTAGACGTGATATCCGACTGGCTGTCGACCAAAGGACGTGTGTACTGATCAGCAGTCAGCTCCGTACTGCTTCACGCCTTACTGTGAGACATGGCCATTGGAAGTGGAAGACATGAAACACATGGCTAGCTGTCTTTGTTCACAAGTGCCTGCGTTCTATCTCCCGTGTGAAATGATATAATAAGGTGATCAATACTGAGATTAGGCTTCGGTCGAGTGTTAGGTGGTGAGGACGGGAAATCAATCGACGAGGTTGTGATGCTGGCTACGTCGACTGAGATGGTTAGGACATGTGTTACTCATGCTTGACTAGCCATCACCTTCCTCGATGGGCAATGTTAACTGACATAGGGTCAGGCTGAAAAAGAGCTAGTTAGTGGTGGTCTAACCAAAACATGGCTTCATCAGTCAATGAAATCCACAAAAGTTAGTTTCAGCCAGTCACGTAGGGAGGTGTAGATTTCCTGACTAGTTGGGGTCCTCGGGACAGTGAAAACCAATGACGTCTGGAGACAATTGGTGATATGGCTCAAAATCGCTCTCAATGATGCAGGCAGATGCATCCACTCCTTGTGACTTATAATATCCAATAAAACTATATTGTTCTTCGAAATGACTATTCTATTTTGAAAAGAATAGACACTGAACAAAGAGAACTCTTTTCGATAAATTCATCATCAGGTTCTACAATTATATATACATTATAATGAATGAATGAATTAGTCTTATGAACGACATTAATGTTTAAATAACATCAAATCAATAATATTGATAAATTACAGCTGAACAGCATCAACATCAAATAAACTGAATGTCAGAAGAATTAGGAAAGGTAATGGTACAAATTCATGAGTTTATAGTCTCTACTGAGGGCCAGGGCAGTAGTAGGGGCTGGACTTGTTTCTTTTGGACACAGAGCGCTGGTTGTTTGAGGCGAATTGCAATAGCCTCTGCTGTTTGGAGTAAGCGGTGCTTCGAGGATTTTGGTAGTTTGTTGGGCACCCGGTATATTATGGAGAAGGATTCGTCTACGCTGGCTTTGTGACCGGTTTGCACCAGATGGTCTAATATCGAGCTGTTAATACTTTTAACTACACCTTTACTTAGCCATAGTGGGATATGTTCTCGAGCACGAAAAATCAAGTTCCTAGAGCAACGGCCAACATAACTCGCTCCACAAGCGCAGTTGAATTGATAAATACAATTTGAAGTGGCCAGTCTAGGTACTTCATCTTTCAGTCGAGGTAGCACCATCGGTCTTGTAGAGAATAAGATGTGTAGTTCGCCAGCATTAAAAGTCCTTTGAACTGCTTTTCTTAATTTCTTTGTAATTAACTCACTTGGTTTATCGCCCTTGAATTGTAGTCGTATATAAAGGGGCTTCTTGTTTACAGATAGTGGGTCGTCCTTTTCGGCCTTCTTCGTCATATGTTTCTTGATAAACTTGTCAGGATAACCATTTTCAATTAAAGTATCATATACAATGTTTAATTCATCTTTAATTACTTCCTCAGAGCATATAGCTCTAACTCTGTGGCTAAGGGTCTTCACCAAATTCCTTTTGTATTTGATGGGAACGAAGCTATGAAAGTGTGTATATTGTCCCGTCCAAGTACTTTTTCTATGTAAATTTCTTTTTATGCTTCCGTCTGGTTTTCTTGTAAGTAGGACATCGAGGAAGGCAATTCTGTCTTGGGATTCCTCCTCGCATGTGAATTTCATAGCCGGATGTACTTCATTGAATTCAGTAATTATTGTAGTCCTATCGGAAGCATTATCACAAAGAATAAAGGTGTCATCCATATATCGGCAATAAAATGAGAACTTTCTGATAAGGTTGTTCAGAGGTCCATTTTCTAGCTTACTTAGAAAGAAATCAGCCAGAATTGGACCTAATGGGGAGCCCATTGCCACCCCGTCCACTTGCCTGTAAAGCGTGCCGTCAAATTTGAAGTTTACATTCATGGTACATCTTAATATCAATTCTTTTAGGATTTCAATATGGATTCCAATGTTTATCGACTGCTTGTCCACTTGTTCACATATATAATTAACTGTTTCTATTAGAGGTACATTCGTGAATAACGATGTTATGTCCAAAGATATCATGGTTTTTTCCTTGATATTAATATCTTTTATTTTGTCTACGAATTCGAATACATCTTTGACGCTATATTTCACTATCTTCTCATGCAATGGTTTGAGAATATTTACTAACCATCTAGCTAGAGCATGGTAGGGCGAATTTTGCATATCAAGTATTGGTCTTAACGGTACCCCTGGTTTATGCACTTTAGGTAGGCCATACAATCTTGGCATATACGTGCCCGTTGGTCTGATTTCTTCATATAAACTTTCAGAAATTATCTGCTCCTCCCTTAGTTTCTTCAAACGTCTGGTTAATTCATTCTCTATTTTGTTATTGAAATCTTTCTTCTCCTCAAGTTTTTGAAACTTCTGTGTATCCTTCAATATATCCTTCATCTTTTTAATATAGTCATTTCTATCAAGAAGGACTACTCCTGACCCTTTATCCGGCTTTGTGATTATCAGTCTCTCATCATTTATCAGTCTTTTTAGTTCTTCTCTGTGTTCCTTTGTCAAGAAACTTTTACTGTCGCATTTGAGGTTTTTGTACTGGTAACAACACTCCACTAGACTGGATTTGAAGCGTTCTAGTTCGAAGGTGGATGATGGAGCTAGATCCCTTGTTTGACTAAATAGGTTTTCAAATTCAATATCAGTATCTAAGTAATTAACTCGTTTCGGTCTGTCACAAAATCGAAGGCCAAGTGAAAGTACTTCAAGTTGCACCTTATTTAATTCAACACTACTATAATTATAGACGTACTTTTTAGGATCTGCTGGAAATTTACCAGCCTCTGGCTTCCTTTCATATCTTTGTTTACTGTCTCTATTTTGTATTTCTTTGTACTTTCTTCTCTTGATTTGTGTGCTAAGTGAAGGGAGTGTGACGACTTGAACTGCTGCATATCGGTGCAAAGTCCTATGTTGAAACCAGTCAGTCAGACTAGGGTCTCATCTCCTGCTCATACGATCTCCCTCATGTCATCCTCGGAATCCCAACTTGCCATTTACCAATCGAGTTCCACTCAGCGTGTATCGTCGTCGGGATATCTGTTGGGCAATAGGTTCTTAGTTGGTTCGTTGCCTTCCAGAGTTCCCTGTTGCTTATCCTTCCTTTTTGGCAGGCATCTTTTATGATCGACTATGTTATCCTGGGCTTGTGACAAATAAACGTTCAAACGTCTTGAATTATATTTGAAACCTTATGAAACCAAAACCGTGTACCTGCTTATCAAATCAGTTCATGTCTATAAAACGTACATCATTATTGTGTTAGCTATTATTAAGTGTTTCGGCCGAGAGACGCCTCATCAGCATATTTAGTTTCAGTGAATATATCGTTGCTGTACACCATGATAGGTATTGTCACACTGAAGTAATCAGGAGTTATAATAGTTGTATCGCACGACATGACCTCTTAAATCATTGGTTATCTAATACAGTCAACTCTTAGCAATAATATAGCTACTTCATTGTTGATTGTGGATTACACTTAAGAATCAGCAAATCACTTCATACGCCTTCTTACCAGTTCACTGATGGTTTAACAACACAATCACCACCTCTTATGTGAATTGCTAGCTTACGAATCGAGCAGATTCCTTGTCATAACTACCCCAAGTTATTCCATATTAGTTTGTTTATTAGATGTATCACACACAGTGATGAAATAGTATTATTATTTACTGGATGAAAAAGTTTCGAACACAACTTACTATTGTTCATAATCATACCGTCAACTATGCAATCACACGACTTCGAAACTTGACTTTTATAGTTTCCTTTGTTCTCTCCTATTTGTCGTCATTGGGGTAGTAGAATTTTCTAGATATCTGGCTGGACAGGTGTTGAATCATTCCTATTACACGTATTATCTTCAGTTGATTCGATAAACAAAGCTTCCGATCATCCCATCCTATGTCAGTGAAAGTTGGATTGGTGAAATGTCTAAGTAATAGAGCACAAAAACTAAGGAGTACCAAGGAAAATCTAAGACAGGAAGAGAGGCGGATAACAGAAGCTTTGAAACTTAATAATTACCCTGATAAATTAGTCAGAAAGTGTGTAAGGAAATGTAAAAATAAAATATATAATGATAGTAGTGATAGTGATAATAATAATAATATTAATGACGACATGCATGTCAAATATGCGCAGGACAACACCAACAATAAGGAATCTAAATCATCAGTAGTAATTCCATACAAGGAAGAAACCTCGGAAACCACCCACCTTACGCAGAATTCTCAACGAGGCAGGAATAAAAGTGGCTGGCATTCAAACCACCCACAAACTCAATTGGAAACAAGCTTTGTAGGTTAAAGGATCAATCCTGTGGAGCCTTTAAAGCAAAACAATTTAGTTTATCTAATACCCTGCTGCAATGATTGTCAGGTCAAATACATAGGTCAAAATAGTAGAACAGGGGGAGCCAGGCTAGTCGAACATAAAAACCTAGCAGCAAAATCTAGATTAGTTGACCCGAATAAGATAAGAAATGTTGAGAATAGTTCACCTATAGCACTCACTACATGCAATTACACACATCAAAACATACATTAGGTTGGGATAGGGTGACAGTTTTAAAATCTTATGTTAAAGGGTGGAGGGAGAGATTGATAACAGAAGCTTTGTTTATCGAATCAACTGAAAATACGTGTAATAGGAATGATTCAACACCTGTCCACCCACATATCTGGAAAATTCTACTACCCCAATGACGACAAATAGGAGAGAACAAAGAATACTATAAAACTCAAGTTTTTAAGTCGTGCGATTATAATTGACGATATGATTATGAACAATAGTAAATTTTGTTCGAAACTGTGTCATCCAGTGAATAATACTGTTTCACTGTGTGATACATCTAATAAACAAACTAATATGGAATTACTTACTACCACAGTGCCCAATTTTTACATATATATTAATACCCCAAGTTATACAACACTGCAACAAGAATTATCCTCGACATAAGAAGAGAACTTGTGCACTGTGGTGATAGAGTTTAATTCCATTGTGGGTAAAATTTATTTTGATAAAGTCTCACAGTGTGTGTTATGCAGTAATATTTACTGATGACCACACGCTTCGAGCACAATTTATTTCTGCTCATAATCCCAATATCAAGGCATTACTCACACAACTTTCTAACTTCGTTTATATAATTCCATCATTATTTCCACTCATCGCTTGACTTGATTGGTAGTAGTATTTTCCATATTTCCGGTATGATTGATGAGTCATTCCTATAGCACGTGTTAGGTGTAGACTCGATGAACAAAGATTCAGTATTTCCCAACCTTTCTACATCTAACTATATTACTTTTTAGAATTTCGACTCTGTCCCACCCCATTATGTGGTTGTGTGTTAATGCATGCATTGCAATTGCTGAGCTTTTTCTAAATTACTCATCTTCCTGGGATCCATCATTTTAACCTTAGCTAAATTCTTATATTCTGACAATCTGACTACCCCTGATCTACTAGTTTGACGTATATAGTTGACCTCACAGTCATTGCAGGGTATTTTGTAAATTATATTATTTTGTCTAATTGGGTTAACTGGCAGGGTCCTTTAACCTACACAGCTTGTCTTACCTGAGTGACTTTGGAGGTTTAAATGCCACCCTAATTCTTGCCTTATTAAGAATCCTATATAGGGTCTCAAATATCCCCCTCCTTATGTGGTAGAGCTACTATAGATGCCTTATATTCTTTTTTATTTATTTTGTCATTATTATTAGTTTCACCATTATTTTTATTTTGCTCTTGGCTTTTTCTGATGTTCCTAATAAATTTTATAGGATAGTAGTTATTTAACACCAACCAGCTATTCTTCCATTTGTCTCATTTCATCATTTAGGTTTTCTGATGTGCTACGTAGTAGAGTTATCGCTCGGTTTGTTAGCCACTTAAGTAAGCCTGCCTTAGCAATTAACGGAAAGGATTAAAATTTTAAGAAGTAATATTGGTAGGTGGAGAGAGATATTGATTACTGAATCCTTGTTCATCGAGTCTACATATTCAACACGTACAATAGGAATGACTCATCACTCATACCGGAAATATGGATAATACTGTGGTGAGAGCTGTCTACTAGCCAAGTGGTTGACAGTAATTGAGGTCAGTGTTTATGTATCAAATATTAGTCATGTTGTGGTGAGAGATGGTTGCTAGCCAAATTGGTTGACAGTAATTGAGGTCAAAGGTCAAGATGGACAGGCGGATACAGTTAACATATAGATGAACTGACACAGCCACAAGAGATGCAAGGTTAACTTTGTGTGAGAAACAACCAATCAACAGACTGTATTTTCTACTAACATTGACCTACAATAATGTACATAAAAATCTATAAATACGTGTTGATTTTTCGTAATAAACGTTCTGTTGCCTGGCCCTTGTCTTCTGTTGTTACAATACTACTACCAATCAAGTCAAGCGATGAGTGGAAATAATGATGGAATTATATAAACGAAGTTAGAAAGTTGTGTGAGTAATGCCTTGATATTGGGATTATGAGCAGAAATAAATTGTGCTCGAAGCGTGTGGTCATCAGTAAATATTACTGTATAACACACACTGTGAGACTTTATCAAAACAAACTTTATCCATAATGGAAGAATTATCCTCCATATGGTTTCAGCTTATATTCTAGTATTTGGTTCATAATAGTTGCAATTTACAAGAAGTACGGCAACTTCTATCCATTATTCAACACTGGAGTGATCTCACATAATATTACATCATGCCTAGCCTTTGTTACATCAACTATAGCGCTATGAAATGCTGTCTATTGGCTTTTGTTTCAGCACTCTGAAATGGTTCTGAGTTGAAACTTTATCTTACTAG